AGCCATACCCATACTTCGGCTGAAGAGTATAAAGAGTTGGTTTAATCCAGCCAACCACTCTTCAGCCATACCCATACTTCGGCTGAAGAGTATAAAGAGTTGGTTTAATCCAGCCAACCACTCTTCAGCCATACCCATACTTCGGCTGAAGAGTATAAAGAGTTGGTTTAATCCAGCCAACCACTCTTCAGCCATACCCATACTTCGGCTGAAGAGTATAAAGAGTTGGTTTAATCCAGCCAACCACTCTTCAGCCATACCCATACTTAGAGCTTGGTCGCATTCTTCATCCCACTCAAACTTGGCCTTTAAGGCATGAAAAAATGGTCGTAGTCTATCTGACGACCTACTTATGAACCGTTTGAGCGCGGCTGCCATTCCGGTGAGATGCTGGACTTCTTTTACTGAGTTTGGTCTCTCCAAATCTTGGATTGCTTTGATCTGGGAGAGGTCTGCTTCTATACCTCGGTTGGTCATAAGGAAGCCTAGGAATCTGCCAGATCCTACTCCGAATGCGCACTTGGATGCATTGAGGCGCAACTTGTGTTTCTTCAGGATTTCAAACATCTCTCCTAGGTCCTTGAGATGGTCATTCTCATCCTTGCTTTTGACCACCATGTCGTCGATGTAAGCCTCCATTGTTCTGCCTAACAATGGTTCAAACATCTTGGTGACCATCCGTTGGAATGTCGCCCATGCATTCTTTAGGCCAAATGGCATGACCTTGTAACAGTATAATCCTCTTGGAGTTGTAAAAGATGTGACCTCCTGGTCTGGCTCATGCATGGTGATTTGGTGGTAGCCTCTGTATGCATCCAGAAAGTTAAGTCGGTTGTGCCCCGCCGTTAGGTCCACCAGTTGATCTATCCGTGGTAGAGGAAAGCTGTCTTTTGGGCACGCCTTGTTTACTGTTTTGTAGTCGACGCAGACGCGCCACTTGCCATTCTTCTTTGGTACTACGACTGTGTTGGAGATCCATCTTGGGTAGTGCACTTCTCTAATTGCTCCGGCCTCCAACAGGTTACTTACTTCTTCCGCCACGATTTCGGCATGGTGAAGTGCCGATCTGCGAGTGCGCTAAATGACTGGTCTGGCGGATGGGTGGACATTGAGTTGGTGAGAGATGTAGTTTATGTCAATGCCTGGCATGTCGTAGGGCGTCCAGGCGAACACTTCGATGTTAGAGGTTAAGAACTCCAAGACCTCTAATCTCTCAGTGCTGGACAACGATGAGCCAAGCAAGAAGAACTTATCCGGGTTCTTCTCATCTATCTTCACCTCCACCAAGTCCTCCACCGCTTTCTGATCAGCCTCTTTACCGACGTCCGCGAATAGTTTCATTGCTCTCAGGTTCCCTCCATCCGAATGAACTATCTATTGGGGCAGCGCGGCTGCCCGTTCACCAATGACGAAGCATTGTTTTGACATGATCTGATCTCCAATAAGACCTATCTTCACATTCATCATCATCCCGGTGTCGTATAGGAAACCGATTGTACTTGGTGGATAAGTGTATGACGCCATACCTTCGAATCGCAATAGGCATGCAGCCAATAGTTTCTGACCAAATGATGGTAATCGTTGTAAAGTTGGAGGGGACCATTCAAATACCTCAGAACTCCACTTTTTTTTTGTCACGCCTTACCTGACTCTATGCCTGGAATAGAATTATTTTGCCAGACTTGGGCATTCTGCAATAGAGTTGGATATCCAATAGGGGTGAATACATGCAAGGTCTGCCAAGTCTTTTTGTCTTGATAGCTCAGTTTATTGTTTAAAAATGCTTCGTAGTACCAATGATTTTCAGCATGAACCTAAACCTCTGGAATCAATATACAGAATCCGAACTTTGTTACGATTCGAAAATTCCTTTGACTTCGGAAAGAGATGACGTACCAGTGGGCTATCATTGTGAGAAAGGCAATATAATTTCCGTTCTAAGTCTTTAATCTAGAAAAAGACATGACGTCTGATTTGCTCTGTCTTCCCCTTCATTGCGTTGGCATAAGGTTAAGAGCACATTCGGCACCTTTCTTAATGTGTATTCAGACCTTTTTGATTGATCCTCTGAGCTCAGCATTACACGTCTCTCAGGTTCAATTTAGACTCCATGTAATCACATTGATAACGCTTGGGGTGGAGGCGTTGACTGGCATTCCGTTAGGGTGGTTTATTATGGTCCTAGGGGCTGGGCTGGTCCTCTCATTTCAATGTATTTTATCCTAAGTGACCTTGCCTGCCTACTAACTCCTCCAAGTGCTGTCTCAATGGTGTGCAATTTTCAGTGCGGTGCCCCTTTTCTTTGTGGAAGGTGCACCGTGATCTTTCGTCGTAGTCCTTCTGAGCCTCTCCTAGCTTGGCAGGCCATCTGACGAAAGGTTCATCGCGTATCTCGCTTAGAATCCGGTAGATTGGCTTTTTGAATACCGTGGTAATGGCAGTGCGGACTCTCAACCATCTTTTATCCTGGTCTTCTCCGTTGTCCCGCCTGCCTCGTCCGTTTTTGTTCGGACGTTCTACCACGTTGACCTTTGCTGCGATCTTTTTATCTGGTACTGTGGTCGTGCTAGACTTTGATTTAGCACGAGCGTCATCTTCTTCTACCCGAATGTGTTGGTGCACTCTCTCCATTAAGGCCTCCATTGTAAGAGGCGGTGTCATAGTGATTGAGTCCCTTAGTCTGTTCCTGACTGGAAGGCCTCTTTTGTACTGTGCAATGGCGAGATTGGTGGAGCAGTCCCCAATCTGATTGAATGTCTCCCAGTAGCGACTGTTGTAGGATCTTAGGGTCTCTTTATCGCCCATGTCGATGGAGAGTAGCTGGTCGATCTCCACCGGGGTTTTAGTGTTTGTTCGGAACCTTGTTACGAACGCTTCTGCCAATTGTGCCCAGGAGGCTATGCTGCCCTCTGGAAGTTTCTCGAACCAAGTCAAGCCTAGGTCGCCAAGGCTTGACGGGAAGAGTATACACATTAAGGCCTCGTTTCGCCTGTACACAGCCATGACCTGGCGAAAGTGACTCAAGTGTGAGTAGGGATCCGTCTCTCCTTCATATGTAGTGAATTTCGGCTGAAGGAAGCCTGATGGTAAGGGCGCGTTTTCAATCGCCGGAACAAACGGCGAAGTCTGCAGCCTTGCTAATGCTTTGTCCGTTGGTTCGTAGGCAGGGCGTGGTATTGGCATTCCAACCTCGACGCTTCCATGCGTCTGAGGAGCCAACCGTTGTAAGGCAGAAACTCTGTGTGGATCCTTTGCCCTAGCATCCTCCTTGCATCGTGCCTTTTCTTCGAGCACGGTTCGTAAGTCGGATGTTCTCGGTAGCTCGGTTTGTCTAGATCTGGTTTGGTGCAAATGCGAGGGCCAATACGTGCTTCCTTCAGTGTATGATCTTTCAGATCTCGTTCTCTCAGACCTGGAGTGACGAGTTCTGGAAGACCAGGATTGAGTGTCGCCTGTCCTGAGGCTTCTGCTCTCTCCTTGCGAGGGTGTGGTATTCCTACGATTTTCTGAGTGGCGAGGGGTCGTCTTGTTTTTGCGCCCCTCTCTTGTCGCCACTTCTTTTTTCTTTATCTGGCGTTTCAAGGCCTCCATGTCCGCCGCCATCTTTCTTATCAATTCATCTTGCTCTTTCACGCGATCTTCCAAAGCTTGAGGGTCAATCCTCCGCCTTTGCCTATCAGGACTTTGCGAATGAGAGTGACGGGGCTGTTAGTCCGCCTCCCCTTAGCATCCCTCCTGGAGTTATGTCGTTGGGGCTCCAAGTCCGCCATGGGAGGGACAGAAGGTAATCCTTCTCGCCTTGCGCCCCCATCTTGAGTTAGCCCGTCGATGGCGGACTGCGGCAATTCTTCAATGTGTGCCATTGATTGTAAAGGGGAGAAGCTTTAATCAAGAGGTTTTGTTCTATCTGTTTTTCCCACAGACTGCGCCAATTGTACGGGAAAGAAATATACTTTCTCGTATAATCCTGTTGACCAAGTCTGCGCTCCCCCGTACGACGTCGCTTTGTCACCTGAAAACACAAACGTGAGCTAGCCGGCGGGTGTGTGCCGGAAACCTCTCCGATGCCTAAGTCAGCAAACTTGACAAATAGACAAAGCTCTGTTTACTCAGAAAGCAAAGTTGTGTGTTACCTCCCCAAAGGTGATGTTTGTGAGCTTTTATAGGTTTCGTGTGGCAATATCCTAGTAGGACTTCTATTCCTCCATGCAGAGTCCTCCTAGGATTCATACTCCTGAAAGATAATGCTTATCCTTCAACACCCCCCTCACTGCTTAAACCAAGTTAGATGGTTGTATCATGGCCGAACTCCAATATGACCGAAGTAAACACGACTAAGCATAGCCGTAGAATGAGCCGAACTAGTTCTTCCTTTTACTTCTCTTACGTCGGCTTCTCATGCACTGTACATGGCACGGTTTAGACCGAACTAACGATTCGCGACCGGTATAACTCCAAGACCGGTCTAACTTCAAGTTGCTTCCGGACCGAAGTAACTTTACACGTATCTTGGGCCGGAGAAATTCTGTACCTCTCTTTGGCCGGAGTAACTTTTACGGCCTTTTTTACTCAGCCCTTTGTATTGTGGGCCACTATGACCATCTTATAGCTCGGCCCAATTTTCACCAAAATTACCCTCTCAAATGTAATTTGTCCCTGATAAAATGCTTGGGAAGGTCTCTCTAACCTTTAGAAAAATACTTTGAAAATTAGAATACTATTTTGGCTAAAAACGGGAGAGTAAAATAGTGTTCTTTCTCATTTGAGGCTTATACTTGAGCTGAGATAGTGCACAATCTTTATTCCGGAGTTATTCAGAGAGCACCCAAGTCTTGAAGTTAATAAAAAATAAGGTTTCTACGTGGTCCACAAGATGAGACGCGAGACCCACCTAACCACTCCAACACCTCTGTGAATCCAGATACACCCATGAATCCATTGTCTACTGATTTTCAGCATAAACTATGTGAAATTCATTAAATAATTTAAAATCTAATACAAAGGACGAAGAGCTAGATATTCTTTCTTTATTTAAAGGATAAAAGACAAAGACATTAATCAACTTATTTAAATAATACATAAACAAACATAAGTTCTCTCCAGTTTAGTGCTGGCCATCATAGTTTTTATAAACTTTAACACAAACACGGCTACAAACACCAAATAAGAAAAATAAGTACTGCATTTGAATACTGGTGGTGTTCCATAATCATGCATGTTTCTTAGAGACCTTGATATACATGCCATCTTGAAATTGTAACATAGGTGTTCGGGCTACATCTCCTCCCTTAATTTTTGTCCACCTATCAGAATCAAAAACAGAAATGAAAAAACACATTAAGACTTTTTTTAAATGAAAAAATAAAAAAAATTGTAAAAATCTTATTAACATGTTATCTTAATTTTCAGATTCATCCTTCTTTTTTTTTCCTCGTGAAAGAAATCCACTGATATAAATTCGTCATGAATATATATCCTCTTAACTAAATGCATAGTAAGAATTGAATTTTATTACTATTTTCTTTCCATTTTCTTCATTTTGGGTCATATTTGTCACTATAATTGAAACAACATGAACAACCATGAAATGTGAAACAAATTTTAAAAGGACATTATTAGTAGTAGCAGTAGCAGTACATACTTGTATTCACTGACTAAAACATGTAGGAAGGTGGCAAAAAATGCCTTGGAGAACTCTGCACCTGCGCATTGTCTTATCCCTCCACCAAAAGGCATAAAATTCTTTGATGCGGTTTGCGGATCAATGTCCTATTTTCATCAATGAATCAAAGATTGGGTCATATATATAATGTTTTTATGCATATTGAGACAATAGATCTATGACCAACAGTACTATATCATTAATTCTTTGTTTTAAGAGAGAGAAAAAGAAAATAAAATTAACCTTCCAACGTCTCGGATTGAATGCAAGTGGATCCTTAAATACGTTGGGATTTAGTTGAAGAGTACAATTGACCATCATAATGGCCCAACCTGCTGGAATTGTATAACCTGGAGATTGGAATTAGACAATCGTTATTAAACTCTGAGATGATTTAAGTTTGAGATGTGCAACCCTAAGCATCATGTCACAAATTATTTAATAGGTTGGAATTATAAAACATGTGGTGTTCTTTCCTAATAGGAGACGAAGGAATACATGACCATTTGACAAAGGGAACCACACAGGGAGTAGCTCCTCTCAATAGTTCATTTTCTCCATAATTCTCAATAATTCATTTTATGGTTTTTGTAGGGCCTCACGATGGTGATTCGAACCATTTATTTCATAAGTCTCGAAGAGAAAAACATATATACAAAAGATCAACTTGATTCAAAATCAGTATATACACTAACTAATTGTGTCTTGTTTTATAAAATTGATGGTAAATATTATTTTAAACCAAAACTGTTCATTTTATAAAACAAAATCCGATAGTTAGTATGATTATCGATATCCGATTAAGATAATTTTTTACATATATATTCTTCTCTTCTAGGTCAATGAGATAAACACTTTAGATTATCGTGGTTAGGGGTCATCCATGGGCCTGGTCGGGCTTACCTAGCCCGCAACTATAGTGTCCAAATTCTATATTTTAATGGATTTTTCGAGTTTTGACCAATCAATGGGCTGGTATGGGCCGAGTCTATTTAAAAAATTAAAATCATGTGCCACCCATAAGCCAAAATCTTACGGGCCAAAATCAAACCAAACCAGGCTACACATTCGCTTATATTATTAATTTCTACACATTTTTCATTCACATATCCTTAATATTTTCATTAGTTATTTTTCTTATTTACTTTCCAACATAATTCAATTATTTTGATTTCTTTCTTTTTCTTCTTCCTTTTTCTTTTTTTTTTTTTTTTTTTTAACATCCCATATAGTAATAAAAAAAAAATAAAATCAAGTAACATATTATACCTACAAGTGTAGGGGCAAAAAATGGAAAGAAGAAAAAATAAAAGCTTTAAACATGGGAACAAAAAAATAAATATATAAATAATCAAACTAAACATTAGACCAAAAGAACTCAAATATTAGACTAACCCATGCGGGCTCTTACAGACTGAGTTTATGAGCAAACTCAGGTTACTAACTTTTGTCTAAAATCCTAAATTATCTTTTATGTGTTGGGATGGGATGAACACTTAAGTGAGTTGGGACAGACCATGGGACGGGTTGGTCAAGTTGGGTAATATCGAGTTTTTTTAATCACAAGCCATTTGGAAACCCTTAATCGTGGTCGAACACCACGGAACCCACAAAGTAGAGTCTAGAAAGTTGTCGAGGAAATAAAGTCTTGAGAGGAGCTGCTCTTCCACAACACAAAGCCCGTTTATTTTGAGAGATAGAGGAAGAGATTGAATTAGGATAAATGCAGTGTTTGTTTGCAAAATTGGAAAGGGGATTCACAATCCCTTAGGACTGTGATAGGTCTTAGAGGAAGGAATTAACAAAGACTTCTAAGGTTTGGATTTCAAAACTAGTGAGCGGATGCCTGAACTGAAGAAAGAAAAAAAAAAAGGGCCACACAAATACAGAACACATAATATGGGCAAAATATGTGTTGTGTATTTGTGGGGGCTTTTTTTTTGTGTGTGTGTGTGGGGGGGTATTATGTCATTATATATATATATATATATTAAAATAATATAGTACAAAAAATAATTTTTAAAATATGATTTTTTGATATTAAAATATATCCAAAACACCCAAGAAGGGTGTTTATGGTATTTTATATAGTTAATCCCCTTACTAAAATATATGACAAACAAACACAATTTTTCTTAATCTCATCACTAACAATCCCCCACACTAATAGTCTCTTCACTAATAATCTCATCCAACCTAACTCTAAAAACATAGGGGCCCATAGATCATGAAGTTACTCAGATGCAAACATTTATTTAGTAATTTATTACCATTATAATTGATATCTTTCAGTGTTTTTCTTAGTATCCCAGGAGCAACATTTCCCAATCTCAGCACTTCATTAATAACCTGCAGTTTTGGCACACCAACACAAGATAATGACGCAATGTGCCAATTAATTTCCAAAAGAGAATATATATATATATATACATATGGTTTAGAGTGTGAAACTCACATGCATAGTAACAGTCATGGATTTATATTCATCCCATGTCAGTGGAGATTCCTTATTCTCTCTATTTTTTAGAAGAATGTCATGCTCCGCCTAAAATAATAATCAATATTAATTATAATACAAAGAATTGAATGAAATATATATAGATAAATAGATAGATAGTAATTAAATTAGATTAGAGAAAAATATTAGAGTGAATAATGTTGATGGTTGATTTCAATATTACATACCACTAGATCCTCCACCACCCAAGGGTGTTCTGCAAATAACTTAAAAGACAGTGCTATGGCCGTGGATATGGACTCCACGGTAGCAAACAAAGCTCCAACGATGATCGATAGGATGAAATTCTCTGTCAAGAAGAAGTCAGTGTTCAAGTCTTTGACCGCACGATCAAGGAAGTCCCCTTTCTTTTCCTCTGGGCAAGCTATTCTCTCCTTTAACATTGCTCTTATTACCTTTTCTAACTTGTCCTTATCCTACAATCAAAAATCATAATCAAAATCAAACAAACTTTTGAGGAGGTAGAGTTTCCCTTTCTGTTTTCTGGTGTTATTATTACCTTCATACATTTGTAGAATCTAGTACCAGGGATGTTCAATGGAAATGACATAAGACCTTGCACGAATCCAGCAATGGTGTCCGTTATAACATCAGATGACTTTTCAAAATCATGACCAAACAGATTTTTTGCAGCAAAAACTGCAATCATCTACAAAATCCATGACAACAAATTTATTCATTAACTAACATGCCAATAGCTTCAGAATTTATATGTGAATGAGCTTGATCCTAATAATAATAATAATAATAATAAAATTAAAAAAAAACAAGAAAAAAAAAAACTACAATATTTTTTTTACTATCTGTTTACTTAATGAAAATAGTAAAATAGTTTAAATTGAAAATAAATATAAAAAAAAATTAAGGTTTAAATTTATTAAATTAAAAACTGAAAATTATTTTGTTACAAAAGTTAAATTCTGATTTTTCTTTCCTATTTTTTCTTCAATAAATATGTTACCATCCAAAATAGAGACATGATCATGAATTTTAAAACCTGTATATTGGGACCCTATCTACATTTTACAAAAATTGTTTAACATCACAAAAAAGGCAAACTACAATTTGAAAATAATCTTTACAAACGCAATTATTAAAAGAAGTTTTTGAAACTTTATTTTTGCAAAAAATATTTAACAACCAATTCTATTGTATAGTCAGTAAAAAGTCATCCCGAAAAGTTTGAAAAAGACTTTTAATGACAAAATTTTAAAAACGTCACTAATAAATGCACTTTTGGGGACAAAATAATTTGGTCTCAAAAGAGTTTTCTTTTTTAGGCAAAAATTTTGATTCCAAAGGGATAATAATTCATTGTTAGTGTCCAATTTTCATTGCTAAAAATATAATGATGACTGATGACACTTTTGTCAACAAAAATATTTGTTCTTTAAGAAGTAATTTTTTTTCTAAATTTTTGTCTTTAAATCTTAATTTTTTGTAGTGGGTAGATCTAATCCCCTATTAGCCCTATCGCCAAAAATAAAAAAATAAAAAAAAATTGTTTGTTTCAGCCAAGTGGTGACTATCACTCCATTTGTTTCAGTAAAAAAATGTTTTCCCATTTTTCTAATATTTCGTACAATGAAAAATGAAAATGAAAAACATTTTTTTGTTCTAAAAACAAGCTTTCAAACCAAAGTTTTACAATCCCACAACTACCATAACAGTGACCACCGTTAGTATTATGAACACCACCATCACCTCCACCTCCCGACCACCATCGCCATAGCCATCACTTCTACCACTCCAACACCACCACCACCCACTCAGGGCCGGCCCTGAGTTTCCGGAGGCTTAAGGCGAAATAATTTTTCGGGATCATTATAAATATTTATATATAAAAAAAAAATTACTATGTTTGGTTTAGAATTTTTAAAAATAATTGTCTAAGTTTACAATTCGTATTTTTTTGTATTTGGTAACCTTTTTTTTAAAAAAAAAACACACAAATATTATAGTTTTTAAACGTATCTAAATTAGATGTATCTATAAAATAAATAAATAAAAATTGTGTAAAATATTTTTTAAAAAAATACTAAACAACACATAATTGGGCCACAAAGAGAGAAAAAAAATAGGCCACACAAAATTAGGCTAATATTTATATATAAAAAAAAATTACTATGTTTGGTTTAGAATTTTTAAAAATAATTGTCTAAGTTTACAATTCGTATTTTTTTGTATTTGGTAACCTTTTTTTAAAAAAAACAAACACACAAATATTATAGTTTTTAAACGTATCTAAATTAGATGTATCTATAAAATAAATAAATAAAAATTGTGTAAAATATTTTTTAAAAAAATACTAAACAACACATAATTGGGCCACAAAGAGAAAAAAAAATAGGCCACACAAAATTAGGTTAACAACTAATACATATACATATATTTTATTTTTTATTTTTTTATTTTTTTATTTGGACTAACAACTAACACTTATAAATATTTTTTTAATTGGGTCTTTTATCAATTGGATCAAATAGATTTTTTGAGGCCCCTTTAAAAGGGCCTAAATTAATTAAACAGAATTATGTTATATTAAATTCAAAAAAATATATTAAATTATATTATGTTAGATAGAAAAAAGGGTAAATTGGACTTTTTACATCATATCCCCACTAAGGGGATATGATATAATGGGGGGTGTAGTATTGTATATCCTCCACTTTTGGGGGATATACAATCCCACCGGATATTATATCCCCTTAAAAAAAAATTGCAAACATGGGATATATAGACCCCACCGGATATAATATCTAATCCCAATCTTTATATCTCCCAATCAAACGGGGCCTTAGTTTATGGGTAACACTTAAGAAGATGACACATCAGCAACAACTTTTCAAATGTAAACCTTTTAGTCACAGAACACTGCATAGTCACCCATGAGTAGTTTTGTTTCGTTTTTCTTCTCCAATTTTTAAATGAGAAATCCAAGTGACTTAAGAAAAGTAAAAGCTTCAGAATACCAAAGTTGAGAAATCCAGTAGCATACCAAATTCAACCTTTCGTTTTGTAGATAGTTGCTTATTTTGAGAAATGAGTTAAAAATTAATATTTTAATTTTAATTTTTTTTTTTTTTTGAAACAATGTATAAAAAATAGAGGAGTAAACCTCAATTCCCTTAATTTAATTTTTTTTTTTTTTTTTGAAACAATGTATAAAAAATAGAGGAGTAATGTGACTCAAAAAAGTCAAAAAAATCAAAAAAATTTCTTTATCTCTTTACCAAAAGAGACCAATATAGTCCTATGCACCTTCCTATATAATTTTTTATTTTAGATTAAAAAAAATGAGAAATTAACTCTTTTTTTTTTTTATCAGCAAAAGAAATCTTTATTGATGAAAAGATAAAAAGTGTGATAAATTATATCAATACAGAGGAGGTTGGAGCTATCACAAAGCTCCAAGTGCCGGTTGGTGAGGAACATAGTTCTAAAAACCGGCCGGTACGTTATGTGTCGACCGATACGTATTGGAAAAATAAGTATCGCGGTGGATACAGGTTGGTATATTGTTGAGATTGAAAATTTGAGGCGTATCGGCCGAGTCCTGGTACGTATCGGTATGTAACAGTTACACAAGCCGTTACACCGTGACGGACCGATGCTCACCGGTTCGGATTGGTACGGAAAAAAAAGTTGAAAAACCTATGAGATGATTTTTAAAATTTCACCGCCGCGACACTCGATTCCCGATACGTATCGATCAATACTGCCGATACCGATACTCCGCAATTGATACCGTTACGTTATCCGATATCGCGATTTAGAACCATGGTAAGGAACCAACAAACCAGAGAGCAAAAGATACTACCACAACATCAAACTTAGATGAAAAATACACAAAAAAACCAGAGATTAGCAGCAGAGACTAACAGGTAATCAAACTTGAAGACCACACCACAAACACAAACACAAAACAGCAGAACAACACCGAAGTCTAGAAATTTCAATACACGAAGTCCAGCCTTGTGTATGTAGAAATACGACCTTTACTTTACTTTACTCTACATAATATATATATGAAGAGATACATACATTAGCAGCTTCTTTTTTGGCATCAATGGTTCCTTGGGTAGACCAGCGGTGGATGTTAGTGCGAACGGTGGTTTCAATTTCAGAAAGCAACTTAGTCCGGAGGCTGTCAACACCAAAGAGAGTCAAGAAGGTGCCTCTGAGATACTTGTGAATGCGACCAACAGCGTTAGGCCTGGCTTCACCTTCTAGCCGGAATACCTTCTCGAATGTGTCCAAATACCACAGCTCTACTTCCTTCCCTTCTTGTTGAAACAAGTAATTGTTCAGCTTCGGATCTGCTGTTATCACCATTGGCCTTCCCACCAAGTTTGTTGAAAACACTCTCCCATACCTGTTTTGTTTGTTTGTGTCCAAGTACAAATTTACAACAACCATCATAAATAATAATATATTCAAACAAAATACTACTAAATAAATAAAACAACAAAACAAACTAGTACACATAAAAGCTTATTACTGTATTGTACTTTTCAATTCTCTTCTTAATGAAGGGATGGAGATCTAAGGAGTGGTTGGGAATAAGAAGTTGAAGTGTCTCTCCAATGAATGGGAGACCCATAGATCCTGGAGGCAGAACGCCATTGGACTTTGGGTTCCTCCACTTGTAAAGCCACTGACTTATCAATATGGTAACCACAGCTACTACACACAACCCAACTTGCCACATTTCTTACTCTCACTGTTTGCTGAGAGAGAGTAAGTGTGTGTGTGCGCGTTGGTATGAAGAACTCGAATAGCCAGTATGTCTTTCTCGGTGCAGATAAATAATTGTTTACATATTGGGGAACTCACCTTGGTCACATATATATAGAGAAAAAAGTGCACCCTTTTTTTGGACAAAAATGCTAGAGGCACCAAAAATTCTATCAAAAGTTTTACCAAATGTCTCACATGGATGTGGGACCCACATTGTGTGGGTCCCACACCCATGTGAGACATTTGGTAAAACTTTTGGTAGAATATTTGGGGTCTCTAGCATTACTCTTTTTTGGAGGACCTCTACTATCTCAAAATGATCACACCACTCTTGATGTGTGGAGCCCACTCATATATGTGTGGAACCCACATCATGAGTGATGTTAATTTCTCATTTTTTTTAATTTGAAATAAAAAATTATATAGGAAAGTGCATAGAACTATATTGGTCTCTTTTGGCAAAGAGATGAAGAATTTTTTTTTTTTTTTTTTATTTTTTTGAGTTACATTACTCCTCTATTTTTTATACATTTAAAAAAAATTAAAAAATTAATTTTTAACTTAGGCCTAGTTTGGGAAGACTAAATAAGTGCACTTTTTGACTTTTTTTGTATTATGTGTAGAAAAAGTAGAGAGAAAATATTGATTGATATGAACAAAAAAAAATAAAAAGATGAAATAAGTGCACTTTTTTCTTTGTAGCCAAACTTGGCCTTAGTTCTCAAAATAAGCAAGTATCTACAAAAGTTGAATTTGGTATGCTGAAGGGATTTCTCAACTTTGGTAGGCTAATGGATTTCTCAACTTTGGTATGCTGAAGCTTTTACTTTTCTTACGTCACATGGATTTCTCAACTTTGGTATGCTGAAGCTTTTGCTTTTCTTAAGTCAGTCACATGGATTTCTCATTCAAAAATTGGAGAAGAAAAACGTAACGAAACTACTCCTGGGTGACTATGCAGTGTTCTGTGACTAAAAGGTTTACATTTGAAAAGTTTTTGCTGATGTGTCATCTCCTAAATTGTTACCCATAAACTAAGTTCTTTACTCTTGATTCGTAAAGAATTTTACTAATTAAGAATTGAGGTAAAGGTGATGGTCCCCTCCTTGTATTTTCTACTTGTAGGGTTATTGAGCCCACTTTTAGGTCAAATTTTGATAATCTGAACCGTTCATATTTTAAGATTTAATCAGTATATCATACCTGTAAAAAAATCAAGTTGATCGGATATCAGAAAGCATGTGTTCGGAAAACTCGAACTAAAAATTATTTTTTTAAAGAATTTAATAAATAATTTTCTGAACATATGTTTTCTGATATCCAATCAACTTGATATTTTACAGATATGATACACTGCCCTCCTTGTATTTTTTACTTGTAGGGTTATTGAGCCCACTTTTAGGTCAAATTTTGATAATCTGAACCGTTCATATTTTAATATTTAATCAGTATATCATACCTGTAAAAAAATCAAGTTGATCGGATATCAGAAAGCATGTGTTCGGAAAACTCGAACTAAAAATTATTTTTTTAAAGAATTTAATAAATAATTTTCTGAACATATGTTTTCTGATATCCAATCAACTTGATATTTTACAGATATGATACACTGAATAAATCTGAAAATATAAACAATTTGAATTATTAAAATTGAACCTAAAAGTGAGCTCAATGGCCGTACAAGTAAGAAATGCAAAGAAAAAATGTAAGGAAGAAATCTTGATAGTGGTAAATAGGATTGAGGTAGGACTTCATTGGGAAACTAAAAGAAAGACATTGGGACAGTATTTATATTTTTATTGAATATTTGTTCAGTATGTATTTTTGTTTATGAAAATTGAAGTAACTAGTGAATCTTGACTACAATATAAAATTTTCTTGCTTTAAAATTCGTTATGTACTGGCAAATTTAGGTTCATTTTCTTTAATTGTCTTAAAAAAACTCTTCAAAATATAAAATATAAAATATATCAATAAAGTGTATACGCTACATAACAAACCCCTAACCAGTGAACAAGAAGGAATTTTTATTTTTTATTTTTAAAATGAATAAATTAATGTTAGAACAGTAAAAATAAAGAGACAAACATTTGAATAATAGTTGGTTATATGATATAAAGTAGAATATAGGGAATTTTTTTTTTTTTTTTTTTTGGGGGGAGGGGGGCAAGTACAAACAATTTACATAAACACTATAGACCTTGTATATATTTACATGGATCTTGAAACTTTTTGCTGGGCAGGACACCCTCTCCCCTGCCTGGTGGTAGAGGTGATGTTGTTTAAGTAATGGATGTAAAGGGGGTTTGAAGTGGGTGGTGGTGATGTTGGAGTGGTAGAAGTGATGGCTATGGCGATGGTGGTCAGGAGGTGGAGGTGATGGTGGTGTTCATAGTAGTAACGGTGGTCACTGTTGTGGTAGTTGCGGGATTGTAAAATTTTGGTTTGAAAGCTTTTTTTTAGAACAAAAAAAATGTTTCTCAATTTCATTTTTCATTATACGAAATATTAAAAAAAATGGGAAAACATTTTTTTACCAAAACAAATGGAGTGATAGTCACCACTTGGCTTTTCTTTCTCTTTTTCCAAAGTGTGTAAATTGCGCTAAAGATCAAAAATATACGTGTTAAGTTTTTACCACTTTTTTTTTGGGGGGGGGGGGGGGCGGTTAGCTCACTGGGTGGATTTAGATCTATCAGCCGCTACTAAAAAAATTATAGATTTTTAGGAGACATTTCAATAATTATAGTGCGATAATTGACCCAATAATATAGCTTTCTCGTTAAGGATAATAATAATTTTTTATGTTCGTCATTTAAAGTGTCAGTCATTTATAGGTTTTTATGCATGTAATCAATCTATGTATTGTTGTTAGAGTATGACAGGTGAAGATTTGTTGAATATTAATATCATTGGTCCGATTAACCTTTTATTCTTTGGGCAGGAGTCTGTAATTAAATCGTATAAGAGAGTAACGTGGTAACCTCTCTGAGGACTTTCTGAATTTCGGTTGACTTCAAACTCAGAGGAGGTTAGGGAAGAAATGGAAGTTGTCAATTAAATTACATCGTTGTAATGAATGATTTATGGTTGTATACGAGGCAACTATTATGCAATCTATCGGCGCAAATAAGTGGTTTCTTGAACTGTTGTGATGTCGGGAGTAGGTTTCATAGTGGATTTTCACATATCTTCCACAAAGATGTAGTTATATTTTGAGTGTTGTGGCTTTGGTTTACGGTCTTGTTGGGTGTTGGGGTGCACACTTGAGTATGTAAATAATTGCTGTTTGGGCACACCTTTTGTTTTGATTATTTAAGCTTAGTTGAACTTAATCATGTTCCTGGGGAAATTATTAGTAGTGAAAGTGTGTTTGTGAGGCTCACACATAGGGAGAGGGATCATCCCCTCTCAATATGTTCCTCGATGCTTGTTAGATGAATCATAAAGTAGCATAATAGTCTAGCATAGATTTGTCCATTTCAGCAAAGTTTTTGGTGTTAATTTTAGCATGCTCAAACTGTTAAGAGTGTGGTTTGTAGCATCTTGTATGCTCACATGACGTTGTATGCAATCTTGCAATGATAGCCTGAACATGCATCTGGTGTTTGAAACAATCATTCTAGCATGTTCTTAGGCATAACTAAAAGAAGTTTTGCCATATAAGAAGGTTCTCGGAATTACTAACCCTAGTAGGTACTACAAGCTTATAAGAGGTTGACTTTTCTATAAGTTTTTTCTGGTACCTAAAATAACCAAACTTCGAGTTAAATGAACACAAAGCATTTGCATAACAATTACCGGTTCATTCTATGCCATAGCAGCACACTTAGAGTTTTATCTTAAAGCTCTGTTATCACTCAAGCGTGACTTTGACATTGTAGTTGGAGCATAGTTGTTGAAGACATGAAATTTATGAGCATCATTGTTTTTATGGGAAATGTCACGAGCATGAATATCAACTTGCCAAGTTGATAGACCTCTCAATATTGTATACACGCTATGTCCAGGCGTTTGAAGGGATGATGCGAGTTGTTTAAGTGCCCATTTGAGAAGTAAGGCGAATTGCAGCATGACCGATTTATACCTGAAGCTTGTAGAGAGTATGCAAAATCAGCTATGTGATATGTAGTAGGATGTTGTTTATATTATGCCATATGATATTCAGACTTTCCGTGATTTTTGTTATTTGAATTGGAGTGTCCAGTAAACTTTCTATGACAGATGGGGTAGTAGGTGTGTCGTTTTAGCGCTTTCTTATTGAGATGTAAAATATCCTAAATCCACTTCAAAGTGCTTCGTATGCCTTGAGCAAAGTTCAATCGAACTCTCATGCCCTCTTTGTGAGTGACTTTTGTTTTTGCGCTGAATCCGCTCTCCAATATGCTATCGTTGTTAATGGACTCATGTTGAGGCATGATGTCTAGGATACAGTATATCTTTGGGTTGTGCCCTTGGCTAATATGATCCATCATGGCTATTTACGTACCTAGGATTCGTCAGAGTCCTTTGGCTAGCTTTTAAGCTTGAGCCCACTAGCAGCTGTTAGTTTGTTTGTTGCACTGATGATAGCACATAATTTATACGTGCTCAAAAGATAGAAAGACTAATGGTAAAATCCAAGAGTTCGGTCCGACAATAGATAATGCGGAATGGTAGCCACTCTCATATGCCATACAAATCAGGTGTTGTCTTCGATTCGGTGCAAACTTATTGGCAGGGAGTGCTAATGAAGTATCCTAGCCGAGGACATAGTACTGTAAAGGAGCTTGGCCAAGGGTCTAGTAGCATGGAGCAGCCAAGTGCGAAGCACTT